TCATTCCTGGGAAATGCTGCATGCATAGCCACAACTGAATCAAGGTTGCCCTTCCTCCCCACCTCAGCCTGCAGTCCCCCATCATCACTTGTCATTCCACCTGCAACAGAACAAACTCATTCCAGGCATTCAAGAGCGGGACTCTCAGACCTCACTCAGCATCTACAAAATGGGCACAGCAATGCCAGCCTTGTAGGACTGTGCTAAGGCCCCAAAGGGAGGCAAGGGCAAAGCACAGGTGTGTGACGGGTGTGACGCACACAGGTGTCAGTGCCTGCTGGGGCCCAGCAGGGCAAGGCCACAGGCTGGTGTTGCTGCTCTAAGCCCTTCCACCTGTCCCCTCCCTAAAAAGCAACAGGAGCTCACATAGATGTCGCCTGAGCCTATCCCAGCCGACTGCAGCAGCAGAGGCAGCCGAGCCTCCTTCCAAAGCCCACAGGAACAGGCAGGCAGCATGGTCAGGCAGCCCTGCCACTTGTCACTGTTTAAAAATTAGATTATTTTTTAATAACCTAAGAACAAGTACATAAACAACCTAAATAATAAGTTTTCATTTTGCTCACTTCTAGTTTTATTTCTCAGCTGAGGTTTTTTTGGCAGAAGGTTTAGTTGAATCCTCAAACACAGCTGGCCGTGTGAGCTGGAGTTTTCCACTTCAGGGAACTGAAATATATTAATTCAATCAAAAATAGTTTACTTCCTCAGGGGAAGTAAACTGATTTTGTTTTGTTTACCTCCCTCCCACCCCAGCCTTTCACTGTGCCAAGTCACTGCCTAAATTTAATAGCTTGACATTCTGGGAGGCCAATGGCCTTCACCTGGGGAGGGAGCGGGGGTCAGCAAGGGGTGCATTTTCAGCTCACCGTGCTCAAGTTGAGACGGAAAGCGACGGACCTGACGCCCCCTAAGGCTTTCAACCCAGTGGAGTAGAAAGCCCCAGACACTGCAACATTCCTGCCTGGCAGGCAGTCTCCTCTGTGCCTGGACTGCTCTGAGCTGACTCCACCCCAGGCTGTGCCTGCCTCCGTTTGGTAAATTATGACTTTTTTCCCATGATGCCCACATGGAAGCTGTACCTCCTCAGGGTGAGCAGGTACATGAAGCGCGCACGCAGCCAGACAGCAGGACACGCACGTGACGGGCAGAGGCGAAGCTTCAGAGACGGCACCAGCAGGACCCCAGGCTTCCAGCTGCTGCCTCGCTTCCCCGCGATCCAAGGTGGAGCTGCTGAGACAGCGGATGGCGTATCTAGGAAGCACCACAGGTATACACGCACCGTGTTTCTTTGTGAATAGTCAGTATTCTTTTCTAATATTTTTTGACACATTCCAGAAAGATTAAGAACAGAGGTAAAATTCACCCCAAAATTCTTTCATTTAAACACAACTATTAAAATGTATCATTTATCATGTCTTACTGTGCTTCTTCACAGCAGCAAGGGGGACACACTCCAGCTCCAACGGGAATGTGTCCGCATCACCAGATGACCCGTGTTCTTGAGGCAACGTGGCAGCAAAAGGTGGGTTTGCCTCATCAAAGGCCGCCCACACCAGTGCGCTAACATCAGATTGTCTTGTGTTAAAAAATACAGATTGCCAAGAAAAAGTGGCTTTTAAAATAAATGCATTGTTAAATCTGATGTTCTCAGGAGTCAACATAGCAGAGAAGTAAAAGTACAGGGTACTGACGATAGATAAAAGCACCAGGTATCGACAACAAGGAGATAAAACCCACATCCAAGATTTCAGAGACCCTGGCCCAGGCGGGCAGGTGGAACCGGGGATGGAAGTCCACAGCCGGTCCCTCACCTGCCAGCAGCGTCATCAACTCTTACCTACCTGCTGATGCCATTTAAAAGTAAAACCTTCTGGGCTGTCGCTGTGAATGAAGCCTGTGGCTTCCCAGGTAGAGTCGGGGCTAGCCGCAGGACTGGATCAATAAGGCTGCCAGTACTCAGCGTGCTGCCCTTAGAGGGAGTCCCCGCCCCCCACAGGTTAAGAACTCCCAGTAACAATAACGGGTGCTGTGCTCACGACCTCAGAACGTGGCAGGCTCCTGGGCCATCGCAGTGACTCACAGCAGTCCTAAGAGACAGGCCTGCTGCTTCCCGTTGTGCAGGAGGAACAGGGTCTCTGAGGCCGAGTTGCAAACAAACACCCACACGGTGGTGAGTTCAGGACGGGGCCTCACAGGTGGCATCATCACCACCTCAGGATGGGCAGAGGGATGCCTGGCAGGCAGGCACACTGGATACTAGTTGTGACCTTCCAGTTGTCAGGACCTGTACTGGTAATCCCAGTCAACATCGCCTTCCTTCCATAGCAGCTGCTCTTGGCTCCTCGCTACACAAGGGTCCCTAGCAGTGTGCCCTGGGGTGTGGCGTCCCTGCTGCCCCAGGGCTGTCAGCCCAGCAAGGAAGAGACGCCCCACAGAAAGAACACCCTGAACACAGCCAGGACGAGAAGGACAACCAGGAAGCTCGGTGTGAGCATCTGGGCTGAAGGGAGGGCGGCTCCACGGAACCGTTCCGCTGACCTCTCAAGACAGGAGAAAAAGGGTCACGGACGAAGTGGTGGTGATCAGCCCCTAACCTGGACACTTCACAGCCAAAGAAGCTACCGGAGAAACGTGTGGTGCCAGTTGCCTCCCACTCTGGGCCACACCACTCAGCCCAAGTTCTCGGTGGGCTTCAGGATGCTGCCGGGGGGTGATGTGGCTCTGAGCACGGACCCGTCCCCGCCTGCCCGCCTGCTGCCTCGCTCCCGAGGCCCCGCATTCCTGCCCAAACCTCACTGGAAATGTCACTGTCTACACCACCCCCACCACAAACACCCAGAGTTGTCTTCCTGGAGGTGGCAGCTTTTACAGCAGCTACACCAGTGAGTCCTGAATTCCCAGCAGGGGCTGATGGGCACCAGCTGTATTCCGCAAGGCCCCTCACCCGCCCAAACCCCGTGCCTCCTGCCGTTAGCTCTTTATAATTAAAGTGTTTAAACAGACAAGAGCCTTTGCTTATAGCTATTCAAGACTAAGATGCAGAAAACCTAACCTAAGCTTAGGAAGTATTCACTATTTCACAGATTCACCAATATCCTTCAAGCTTCACTATTTTCTCCTCAAAGCCCTCTGAGAACACTCTGACTTTATAAACAGAAAAGAGCCTGAAGTCAGCAGCCGGGACCCCTTCTCAGGGCTGGTGCTGCGGGCCAAGGCCTCAGTGAAAGGGCCACACTGAGCGGCCTCAGGGCACTGCCGGGCACCGCAGAGACTGCTTGGTCGCCAAACAACGCAGCTCCAATGTTTGAAGTACTCAGCTGTCTTCTTTCAGTAGAATTTTACACTTTTGGACAACTGCCAAAAGCTAGTTCACTTTTCTGTTATTAGCTAAAAGCTTAAGTTTTCATTTCCATGTGATTCTTCCTTCACAGTAGGAATCTCAAAGGTTCTCAGGTAACAGAGTAGTGCTTTTCCTTAAATAGGTGCAGTCAACTGGCTGGACTTGCAGCTTCCCCAACAGCAGAGCAGTCCTGAGCCCAGCGGCCAGTGAGAGGTGGTGGCGGTGGCCTGCCCCTGTGCCCCTCAGGGCTGCAGCAACAACCAGATGTGAATGCACAAGCCCCAGTGGCAGGGTGAGGGCTGGTGGCCACTGCCAACCACTGACAGAGCCACCACAGCAGCTCTAGTAGGTACGAAGAACTAGAAAACAATAAATCACTTAAATCTGAGGCTGAATTGAGCATAATTTCATCTGATTCAGCCCTCGTTTTGATGTCTCATATCCACCACTATGAACAATTTTGGGATGACAGAACCGCAGGCCAAGAGGGGAATCACTTGTTGCTGCAGTGTAAATCCCCAGATGTTGGTTCTGGCGGGTGCTGGGTCAGACAGTTCACGTCGCAAGTCGCAGCCCCAGGCAGAGACACTTCTACCAAGCAACACAGCACTGGATGAGGAGGGCCACTCCGTTTCCGCCGAGGCCGAGGCCGCTCACAGTGCATTCCTACCTCATCAGCTGGGCTAAAACTGGTTTTTTACCAGAAGGAAAAAACAGCAGCAGCAAGCTATCTCAGTCATTCAGCACTGTGTAAACAACCTTTGGACTACTCCAAGCATTTTTTTGTTGTTTTTACAGGGCCTCACTGTCACCCAGACTAGAGTGCACTCTGCAGTTGAGGTTTTTTTGGTTTGTTTTTTGAAAATGATCAAGTTAATGTTGATCTGGAAAAGTCACCTTAGCCAACTGATCTCTTCAGAGCTGACTCAAGTGTGCCCTGCTGGCTGGTCTTTTGGTTGATCAAGCAAATATCAACTGAAGAATGACCAAAAAAACTCAAAGCGCATTCATGGCTAAAACTAAACTGGGAGAGTAAGAGAGGGCAGAGTGGCTTCCTCACCTGTGAGACAGCCAGAGGACGATCGGAATTACATGGCAGGTGTGGGTGAGAAGCTCAGCCTTAGGCTCTGAGGGCACCAGGCAAGGCTGGGGGGGCAGCGTGGGCACCCATGCCACCCATGCTCCCCGGCGAGGGTGGAGTAGGTGACAGTGCAGTCCACACTCACCCATGAGGTCAGCGAGGAGGGCCAGGGAGTCCACCTGCTCAGGATGCAGGTCTGAGAAGAGGGATCCCACACGGCCCTGCGCCTCCCTGCAAAGCATCTGCACCCCAAAAACAGCCTCAAAGGCACTGCCGGCTCCAGGGTCCCGCTCCCACGGGAAGTGAGCAGCATTCTCTAGAACAGGCCGCTGCTTTCTAAAAGACTTCTTTCTAAGAGACGGTCATTTTCTTAAAGATAAATAGAAAGAATCGTTGCTACTATGTTCATGTTTCTCCACTCGGAGGAGTAAAATCTTGCTTAAGGACAGAACTCATGAAATAAAGAACCAAAAACAGCAGCCGGGGTGCCCGCCACACTGTTGCCCTCCAGAGTGGAGGGCCCTGCACCGGGGACAGTCACACACAGGCCATTCAAATATGCAAAAGACACATCTTGAAAACCAAGGTTGAAGTTGCTCATTTATTCGTGAAAAGTCCACATGTGTTTACTGCATTCTAAAATGAGGCTAAATAGGAAAGGTGCCATTAGCTCTGACTGATTAAAGCCATCGTAAGCAGATGCCAGTAATCATGCAAACCAATAATGAAAGAGCTTAGAAACAATATTTTTATTTTTAAAAAGCCTCAACACTAAGGAGGAACCCTTCTCTGAAGCCCATCACTTTCCTATTAAAAAATTTAAAAAGTACAGTAGAAGGAGCACAGGACAACTGTCTCCACACAGGGAAGCTGTGTGTTTACACAATTCAAACACCCAGAATAAAAACCACATTCTCCCACCATTAACTTGTGAAGATAACAAATTTGCTTTGGTAAGTTCTTTCAAGAAAAGATATTTTTTCTCCCAAAGCACACCAATAAATATTTATATTAAAAACCACAGTTAATTTAATCAGGCACAGAAGAAAAAATCATTTTTACATTAGTCTTTGTAGATAAGAAAAATCTGATTTACAGTGCACATTCCAATCCCAATCTGAGTTTGTCCTCAAATTTTGAGAAATAGCATAAAGAACTATTTTGCCAACTGTGCGTCACAATTCTATGATTGACGTGAGTTGCAGGCACTTAACGTTCCAACAGAGGCACAGCAACCGCTGCCATCACACCACAGAGCTCCCCACTACGTGGGCAGCGTCCCCATCTCCCCACACACGTGTGATTTCCAGAGTTTCAAACACAGTGTTTACATTCCTGCGCAGCAAGACCATGTTAGCCAAAAACAAGCCTACACTGACTTCCGCTTGAAAGTATTTGCAGAAGTCATGAAATGGTGAATGTTTTTACTATCCCACTTCTCTAGGGAGAAAGACAGTTATGATTGTTTACCTGAGGAAACTTATGATTTGTCAACTTAACTGTTATATTAAAAATTATGAACTTGTCTCTGTATTATGGAACAAAGAAAACCTCCACAACTTCACCATTTCAAGGTTCTAATACAAACTGGAATTTTTGTTTGAACACCACTTGAAGCATGTCCCCCTTTCAAGACTTGATAAGTAAACTTCTTATTCTATTAAAAAAAGTAGATGATTGACAGAAGGCTAGATGGATGCAGACTGAGAGATGACAGACAGAGGGTAGGTGAATAGATACAGATGATTGATAGGTATAAGCGATTGATACAGATTATAGATTTAGCTAGATGAATGGATGTATTAGGTTGATGCAAAAGTAATTGCTGTTTTTTCCATAACAGATGACAGATCAAGTAAACCTGTTCTATTAAAAAACATGCAGACGCTGGTAACACTGCAGTGTGTTCTGCCATCAGGCACACTCAGTTATTCCACAGGAACAAGTGGAAGGAACATCCACACGCATGAAACAGCACACAAGTGCATGCCGAGCAGCTCAGGAAAGGGTTTTTGTCTTGTTTGTATGTGAGGGGAATGCACAGTGTAACTGGAGGTTTTATTTTGCTTTTAAACAAAAAAGAAAAATATACCTTTTCTTTCAAACCACTTTTACCTAAGATAGATATCTGCAGGACTTGCTGATAAGCGCCAACCTGCCAGGGACACATAACTGGCACCTGATACTGTGCAGGATCACACTGTCAAGGACAGTAAAGCAGACAGAAAAAGAACACGCGAGATGCTCTCAAACTGGCCGTTGGTTCTTGTGGAGAAGACACAGCTTCTTACAGATCTAACACCAATCACAATCGGCATCTCACTTTGCAAGAACAAACATATGAGCCTAATAAAAAAGAGGCACTTCAGTATTTTATGCACAGTCTTCACTCTATAATGAGCAAGACAATGTTTCCTAAATAAAATTATCATCATACTTCTTTAATCTGTAAACAAAAGAGAGAGCAAATGTTTTAAGAAAATAAAGGAACCGATTTAGAAGTTCAAAAGAGGTAAAAATAAAATTCCAAAAAAGAACCATGGTTACTATCCAGTGCACACACAAGAGGCTATTCCTCCCTCAGCAAAAGATGAACATGCATTTTAAGATACTGACATTTTACACCCAAATATAACCTTTGCTTTTCCAGTATTTGTTTAAATATTTGTTTAATAAGAACAAAGTTTAATTTGTCAAGTTAAACAAAATTTAACCTAACTTTGGAAGATTCATCTTACCTCCTGACTGTAATTTTCTGGCAAAAGAAAAGAACTGCGTGACTGCTGCGTTTGTATGTGCTACACACAAGAAAAAGGGATAGAAGTCCTGAAACAGAACGACGACAGAGAGCAGCATGAAGATGATTTGTGGCAAACTGCAAATCATTACTGCTGTATTATGGGACAGCATCAAAAATTCACATCTCCAGTTTCTGCAAAACATGGACTGATGGGTATTTCTGCAATAAGGCAATCAAATGTACCATCCCTGCATGTGTTCACCAAGGAGTCACAGCGTGTGTGAGAGAGAGTTCATTAAACAATGAAACAGAGGTCCAAATATGAAATATAGGCAAAAGTAGACTCTATTCCTTCTAACAGAAAAGACTCAACAACTACATGGTATGCTAATAAAAGGCCACCACGTCGGGGCACACTTGCCACGCAGCCCCCTCACTCCACCTCCTCCGGACTGTCCGTCAGGTGGCCTTTACTCTGCCGTCGGATGCTCACCAGCCTCCCTGCTGAGCGCAGGCTCCACCTGGAGCTGTTGGCAGAGCTGGCCAGGCTGGTATACTTGGTCGAGCCCTTGGTGTCATCCTCCCAGCCTGACCAGGATGGGTGGCCACCCATGGTGTCCTCAGGGTCAGCCGATATGTCTTCAAGAGCAAGTTTTGGAGGCTCCCAACCTTCAATTTCATCTGGTTTTTTAGACTGTATATTCTGTTTTAAAACCAAATTGTCCCAAAATCCAGATTTCTTCTCTGCCTTCAACTCTTCTTTTAATCGTAAGTTAGTTCTATAGGAGATGAAAGAGTTAGGTGTTGGTGACCCAGTGGTCTTAGGGCCTCAAGCTGTATCCATTTTACAAACATAAAATTCTTTAAAATTTAAAAAAATTGTTTAGAAAACTAACACAAGTCTATATGAAAAGTTTCAAATATCAAAGTTAAGGAAAAATCAGTCACTACATGTTGTTAATGAAGTGTGTAAAAGCCATATTTTAGGACCACTTGGCAACACATAAGCAAATAACTAGTTCTGACAAGAAATAAGTATTATTACACAAGAGAGATCCTCAAGGCAATAGGAAGGTGGTACTCAAGATTTTCAGCAAATCAGATCTATGAGAATCCAGGGTCTAGATTAAGAAACAAGGAGGGAAATCTATTCAATTTTTCAAATAGGTTTGCAATTGGATTATTAATATAGCAAGGTTGTGTCAAGCATTTAGTAGGTAATTTACTCAACAAAAATAAGAATTCAGAACACCATCTACTATAAAAAGGAAATGGTAGTGAGCGACAGCTACTGAAGAAAGATCTTCAACTACTCTTCACCCTGACTGTCCGTGAGCATCACCTGGGAACATCTGTAAGAACACCAGTGCCCAGGCCCTCTCCTTCCAGATGCTGATGTATTAGCAGGTCACCTGACCGGTTCGTCAGCAGGTGAACCAGTTTACCCGTCTTCTACAGATGAGGATTGGTGAAGTCACAGCTCCACCAGAGCACGCCAGGCCACGTGTCTGTCCTCAGTGCACAAAAGTGCAGAGAAGCAGACCGGGGGCCCACAGTCCTCAAACAAAAGCAAACTCTGTACTTGTCGACTCACCAGGATTCATCTTCTAATCAAACAACTTTCCATAACACAGAGTAAATATGCCATTGGTAATATCATTGGGTAGTCACTGAACTTATATTTTCAACTTTACACTTTTAAAATTCTGAAACACTGATGATAAATTCGCAAGGTCAGTTTAAATTTATTAAATTTTCTAAAATCTTTTACAGTTTACCAGTCAATCCTTTGCATTTTTAACAGTCGTTTTTTGATGTTGCTGTTTTGATTTGGCTTTTTTCTGAAACTACTAAAAATCTTAAGTGTGGCTACAGGCTGCTGTAAGGCTAATAAGTTCAATTTATAATTCTAAGTTATTTTCCACATTTCCATAACCTTTCAAAATGCCAACAGAGACCCTCATGACCTTTTATCCAAAGTATAGTTTGTTTGTTTTTCATCGAACAACGCAACTCATTTTTTTTTTTTTTTTTTTTTTGAGACAGAGTCTTGCTCTGTTGCCTCAGCCTCCCAGAGGTTCAAGCAATTCTCCCACCTCAGCCTCCCAAGTAGCTGGGATTATAGGCATATGCCACCATGCCCAGCTAATTTCTGTTTTTTGGTTTTTTTTTTAGTAGAGACGGGGTTTCACCATGTTGGCCAGGCTGGTCTCGAACTCCTGACCCTATGATCTGCCTGCACTGGCCTCCCAAAGTGCTGGGATTACAGGCATGAGCCACCGTGCCCAGCCCATTTCTGTTTATTCACAAGGGGGATGTTAACTCCGAAGCACACATCACGAAGTCCATGACCATCTGCCACTCAACAGGGACAGACGGAGTGGGGAGGGAGACAGGGACTTGCCACACCCCACAGCGTGTCCAGTTACACTGTATTTATGCCATCAAGTTTTCACTTCTACCTCCTCAGTGACTTCCTCCCTCTCCTGAAATGATCATTTTCTTACACAATTGTGACTTACCCTTTGGACTTGGGAGATTTACATCTTTCCAGGAGATGCTGCTCATCATCTTTATTAAACAGTGAAGTCACTTCTTTCCAACCTCGGAAACTTGCTCCCTGAACCTAATAAAAGGTTAAGAAAAATGTCAAATGTGATGTCATGAATCAATAGAACCCACATAAGATGTGCCTTGATGTCAAATGTGATGTCATGAATCAATAGAACTCTGCTTTCTACTCCAATAAACACATCATTGAAATTTAGAAAAAAGAATTGGCAGAACTTACATCCTAGGTTTCCATACCTGTGTGTACACAGTTTTCTCCCATTAGCTACTAGTCATCTCAGCTGTTTTGGTATTATGGTCATAACAGCTTAACAGCTTATCAGTGATGCTGAGTAATCTAAATTTAGTAAAAGACTTGTCGATAATTATACTTTGCCTAAATAGCTTATGAAAATGATGCTTAAAATCAGACGAAGCTTCCCTCACAATTAAGAATTAGGTCTCCTTAAAACTTGGGAGATTGGGCTGGGCATGGTGGCTTATACCTGAAATCCCAGCACTTTAGGAGGCCAAGGCAGGAGGATTATTTGAGCCCAGGAGTTCAAGACCAGCCTGGGGAACAAAGTGAGACACCCCCCACCCCCGTCTCTATAAAAAATACAAAAACTTAGCCAAGTATGGTGGTGCAAACCTGTAGTTTCAGATACTCAGGAAGTTGAGGTGTGAGGATCACTTGAGCCCCAGGAGGTCAAGGCTGCAGAGAACTGTGATCTCACCACTGCACTCCAGCCTGGGCAACAGAGCAAGACCCCATCTCAAAAAACAAACAGCAGCAGCAACAACAACAAAACACGTAGGAGACTGACCTTTGAGAAGGCTGTTACGAGGTCCCCTAAAAGGGGGGCCTCTCCAAGGTCCCCTGGAACAACTCTGCCACTACCTTTAAGCGTCAGCACCTCCGTGGAGACAATGACCTTTGCCCTAACCTCTACAAGTGTAGATTTCTGAGAAGAAATAATTTTGTTGACTGTAAACAAATGATTTTGTACAATTTTTTCATTTCTGAAATCAAGGTATCTTATAATTAATAGCATATTGGATACAATGAAATCCATTACTAAGAAGAAAGAATGGAGAAAAACATCTGACAACCTGGCGTGTGTCGAGGGCCCTTCATATTCACTGATTAACATTTCCCAGGGTTTATCATCACATTGCTAGGGCTGGGAAGGGTCTCTCACAGGGTAGAGCTAGCTTTTGAATACTTTGCATTGTTAAAAATATAATACAAAAATAAAGCAATCCTGAAGGCTGAAATGAGGCTGCAGGATGACACTGATCTGAGACAAAGATAATGAATACAATTCAATCAACCCTTCGAGGTAACCCAGTGATTGCCAGGTGCAATGCCTGGGGGTCTCCAGGGTGTAACACAGCCTCAAGAAGGGGCAAAGGGCAGAGATGACCCTGAAAACTAACCAGCGACTAAGGGATCCCACTTTTATTCCCATAGGCCAGACCCTCAACTCCCTGTCTGGGCAGAGGTCTGCATCTAGACAGGGGGACAGGCCCTCCAACAGCTATGACTGGAGAGCTGTTTATGAATTAGGTCCTGGGATTAGGAGCATGATGGCAGTACCCATGCCAAAGAAACCATCACAACAAAAACACTCGGCATCAGGTATCAGCTTTCCACATCACACACTGCACAAAAACCTATCACACAACCCATGTCATGCTGACAGCTTTGGCACACTTGCATGTACATCAGGTAAAGGATTACGTCTGATGCTCAGGGCCCATGGCATGACAGAGCATGTAGCAGGATCCTATCAAGAAGTCTCAAGAACGTAATTCTAGAGGCTGACCCGTCTGGACTCTGGAGGAAGGACCAGGTGCAGTCACTATGTGCCCAGCACTGTGTGTGCAATGCCCACCTACCACATCCCTCACTCTGAGCAGTGCCCCATGGGACAGACACAGTGAAGCTTCATGACCTTGGGGAACTTGGCTCACGCAAATGGCCAGGAAGCAAAGCTGGGGCTTGAGCTAATGTCTCACTGCCAAGTTGTTACGTTCACCATTCCCAGGCCTGCCCTGTCCCAACACCACTAGGCAGAAGCCTGTGCCTCACCCCTCCATGGACTACCCACCCCTTCCCTTAATCTGTCAGCACTACCTTCAGATGCTATTTGCTCCACACACCACCCGCATGTCCTAAAGGTGTGATATGGTGTGGCTCTGTGTCCCCAGACAAGTCTCATGTCAAACTGTAATCCCCATGTGTCAGGTGAGGGACCCGGTGGGAGATGACTGGATCATCGGGGCAGATTTTCCTCTTGGTGTTCTCATGATAGTGAGTTCTCATGAGATCTGATCATTTAAAAGTGTGTGGCACCTCCCCTTTCTCTCTGTCCTGCCGCCATGTAGATATGCCTTGCTTTGCTGCCACATAAGATGTGCCTTGCTTTGCTGCCACATAAGATGTGCCTTGCTTCCATTTCTGCCATGACTGTAAGTTTCCTGAGGCCTCCCCAGCCATACAGAACTGAGTCAACTAAACCTCTTTTCTTTATAAATTACGTAGTCTCGGGTCGTTCTTCATAGCAGTGTGAAAACAGACTAATGCAGAGAATTGGTACCAGAGAATTGGGCTACTGCTATAAAGATACCTGAAAATATGGAAGTATCTTTGGAATTGGGTAATGGGCAGAGGTTGGAATAGTTTGGAGGGTCCAGAAGAAGACAGGGAGATGTGGGAATGTTTGGAACTTCCTAGAGACTCGTTGAATGGTTTTGACCAAAATGCTGACAGTGATATGGACAATGAAGTCCAGGATGACGTAGTCTCAAATGGAGATGAGGAACTTATTGGAAATTGGAGTAAAGGTCACTCTTGCTTTGCCTTAGCAAAGAGACTGATGGCATTTTGCCCCTGCCCTAGAGATATGTGAAAGCTTGAACTTGAGGGAGATGATTTAGGATATCTGGCAGAAGAAATTTCTAAGGAGCAAAGGGTTCAACATGTGGCCTGGGTGGTCCTAACAGCATACAGTCATATGTGTTCACAAAGAGATGATCTGAAATTAGAACTTATCTTTAAAAGGCAAGCAAAGCATACAAGTTTGAAAATTAGAAGTCTGACTCTCCAAATGGTAGAAAAGAAAACCTTTTCTGGGAAGAAATTCAAGCTGCCAGCTGCAGAAATTTGCATAAGTAAAGAAGAGCCAATGTTAATTGCCAAGACAATGGGGAAAATGTCTCCAGGGCATTTCAGAGACCTTCATGGCAGCCCCTCCCATCACAGGTCCAGAGGCCTAGGAGGGAAAAATGGTTTCCTCAGCCAGGCCCAGGGTCCTGCTTCACTGTGCACCTCTGGACATGGTGCTCTGTGTCCCAGCCACTCCGCCTCCAGCAGTGGCTAAATGGGGCCAAGGTAGAGCTCCAGTCATGACTTCAGAGGGTGCAAAGCCCAAGTCTTGGTGGCTTCTACATGGTATTGGGCCTGCAGGTACACAGAAGGCAGGAGTTTGGGAGCCTCTGCCTCAATTTCAGAGGAGGTATGGAAATGCCTGGATGTCCAGGCAGAAATCTGCTGCAAGGGTAGAGCCCTCAAGAAGAACCTCTGCTAGGGCAGCATGAAGGGGAAATGTGGGGTTGCAGCCCCCCCACAGAGTCCCCACTGGAATACTGCCTAGTGGAGCTGTGAGAAGAGGGCCACTGTCCTCCAGACCCCAGAATGGTAGATCCACCAACAACTTGCACCACGCATCTGAAGAAGCCACAGGCACTGAATGCCAGCCTGTTAAAGAAGCTGAATGGGGCTGTACCCTGCAGAGCCACAAGGTCCATGGAGACGCCCAATGCCTTGGAAGCCTACCTCTTGCATCAGCATGCCCTGGATATGAGACATGGCATGTAAAGGGATTATTCTGGAACTTTAGGATTTAATGACTGCCCTGCTGGGTTTCAGACTGTAGTCCTTCGTTTTGGCCAATTTTTCCCTTTTGTTATGGGTGCATTTACCCAATGCCTGCACCTCCATTGTATCTTGAAAGTAAGTAACTTATTTTTGATATTACAGGCTCATAGGCAGAAGGGACTTACCTTGTCTCAGATTAGACTTTGGACTTGACTTTTGAGTTACTGCTGGAATAAGATTTTGGGGAATTGTTGGGAAGGCATGACTGGTTTTGACATGTGAGAAGGACATTACATTTGGGAGAGGCCAAGAGCAGAATGATGTGGTTTGTCTCTGTGTCCCCACCCAAATTTCGTGTCAAACTGTAATCCCCACACATCAGGGGAGGGACCTGGTGGGACATGACTGGATCATGGAAGTGGATTTCCTCCTTGCTGTTCTCGTGATAGTGAGTTCTCACAAGATCTGATCATTTAAAAGTGGGTGGCACCTCCCTGTTCTCTCTCTCTCCTGCCACCATGTTAAGATATGCCTTGCTTTCCCCTTGCCTCCTGACATGATTATAAGTTTCCTGAGGCCTCCCCAGCCACGTGGAACTGTGAGTCAAACCTCTTTTCTTTCTAAATTACCCAGTCTCAGGTAGTTCTTTACAGCAGTGTGTAAATGGACTAATACAACGTGATTACCCTAAGATTCCATTTTGGATATCATAAGGAAAATCAACAGAAAATGAGATTTATTGAAATATAAATTATTACCTATTGTTTCCATTGAAATTATTAGGAATAAGATGCCAAAAAAAATAGTCTCTAGTTTATGAACTTCAAACAGATCTTTTTTTTTTTCTTTCTTTGAGACAGGGTCTCTCTCTGTCACCCAGGCTGCAGTGCAATGGCATGATCACAACTCACTGCAGCCTCAACCTCCCAGGCTTGACTGATCCTCCCACCTCAGGCTACCAACTACAGGCATGCACCACGATGCTAATTTTTGTATTTTTTGTAGAGATGGGATCAAACAGATGTCACTGAAGAAGAAAAATCTACAAATAAAATTTACTCAGAGAGAAAAGTTTTCTAGAAATGAAATAAACAGTGAATGTGCACAACAAGAAAGATAAGTGGATGGTCTTCACTTAGATCCAGAAGTACAAATGTATGGCTGCAATATCTGGGGGCAGGGGAAGGTGAAACACACAAAGTTATGGGATTACAAAGAACAGGCCAGTGAGGCTCCCAGCAAGCCTCAGTGCACAGAGCTCTTGCTGTTCCCGCTCACCGGCCAGTGTCACCAGACTGAAGGTTCTCCTCTGAAGAGCCCTTTGTGAAGCTCATGGCCTTTCAGCCCTGTGTTCTGCAGTGCCTGGGTTACTACAGCATGCACCACTGGCGTCTGATGTCTCCAGACAGAACTGAAGCACACGGGGCACCAGTGTTCCTTTGCAAGGTCAGAGATGTGCTATTTCCTGTGCACTCTTGGCCTCCTTATCCTCTTCCACCAACTTCTTCACTGTTTATAAACTGTTAATTCATAAATTTTTAGTCTTCCTCACACATAAGCTTCCCAAAAGTCCCAGGGGAGCTGTGGGACTTCTACGGTTTCCTGGACCATTCTTCGGTAATGCTCTTCTCAGCAGGAGACAAAGAGTTAACTGGCTCATTCTGTGTGACAGTAAATCTTCTCAGGTGTAAGGATCTGTCAGAGATCATTAACTCGGTACATTCCACTAGATTTTGGTGGCAAGGAGGAGTGGTTTCCTGATGAGTGGTCAGTGTTTTTCCTGGGAGCCACTTTCTGTTCCTGGCCCTCAGAGATGTCATCGCCAACCTGCCTTGAGCACTCTCACCTGCTGGCTGAGCAGAACAACAGCCACCTACCCAAGAACTAAACGCAGGCCACAGAAAGTGCTCCGGACAGCACCCGATGCCGAGAACGAGAGTCACGTAAATGCCTCAGTTTAATGAAGACGACAGTGATGGCAATGGCTCAGACTCCCAGAGCTTCCCATGAACTGAGATGCAGAGCATCTTGGGCCACAGGCCATCTCAGAACATAGGCAAACAAGGCACATCCATTTAGGGACACCAGGTGACCCACACCCTCCCCACCCAAACCCCAGTGATATCTGGACAGTCATCTATTCACGCAACGAATATTATCAAACCCATGAGA